GAGCAGATGGGAGAGGGAGTTACCTGTAGGGAATGCTGGGGCTGCTGGGATGGACTGTTCTCTCTAAGGCTGCCTGCTGTTTCTTCAGAATCACTTCCGCCAGCTTCTGCTTGACCACACTGCTGGCCACAGCACCTGCAGGGGCCAGGAACCATGAGTGGGTTTGGGCGGGTGGACAGGTGGCCGCTCTGGCATAGTCTCTGCCTAGTGCACTGTCCACACTCCCAGTACGAGGCATCCCAGGGACTCCTCGGCAAGAGGCAAGCCCGAGGCCCTGTCGCAACACTCCCCATTTTCCACTCGCACCTCAATTCACAGGCAGAGCCCGGCAAGCCGAGGGACAGCCAGGCCGGCGTCACTCCCACCCCCAGCCCTCCCACGCCCGTGCACCAGCCGGGAAGGCCTCCATTCTTACTCCGCTTGCTCTTGTCCTTATTGAGAAGCTGCCGCAGCTCCTGCTCCTGCTGCCCCACCGACAACTCGGGCATCGGCGTATCCATTGAGAGCTGTGGGCAGGGCCGGCCGCCCAGGAAGGGGCAAGGAGTTGAGGACTGAGACAAGGGTCTAGGGCGGGCTGAAGGGAGGGAAGGGGCCTGGGGGCTGAGCTCAAGGCTGCCACATGTGCAGGGAGCTCTGTCTTTACCCTCATGGGCTCCACTGAGCGCTGCTGCTGCAGGCCTGCCAGGAAGAGGTGGTGGTGCAGGTGCTGGGGGTGCTGCAGGGCCAGCAGCGCAGGCTCCGGTGGGGGCTCCACCGGGGGCCGCTGGCCCACCCGCAGGTCCATGGGCTGGGGCTGAGGGCCTGGTGTGTCTGCACGGGGCCTGGGGCAGCCTGAGGACACAGAGAGAGGGCAGGGTCACTGGAAAGTTTGTCTGCAGGTGCACGGTTACAGCCTCATCAACCTCCTTCAGGCTCACTTAACTCAAAATGACAAAACACATTCAAGGGGCCCTTTCCTCACTTCATCCTCATCACGGTCTTACAAGGCAGGTATTTTCAATTCCATTTTGCCCATGAGAAAGGAGGTGCTGTACACTGTACACAGTCTATCACCGGTGGGGTTCAAATTGAACCTTCTGACTAGGAGCATACTGCTTTTCCACTAAGTACGGTTTTCTCTCCAGGTCCCAGGCTGGGACTGTGGTGACCTAGAGATAGACTGAGAGCCCTCTGGTGGTATATCCTGGGCTCTCTTCCTTCTTCCTCTTTGGAATGAGGACTTGGCACAGCTGCCCCCAATGACCTGTGCTCAAAGACAGTGATCAGACAGGCAAACAGTTCCTTTAATTCAGCCTCCAACCCCACCCTCCCTACTCTATCTCAGGCCATAGGGTAAAGAAGTGGTGCCTCAAACCTACAGCCAGGCCCTGGCTGCCACCCCAGGCCTGGACAGCCCGCGTGCCTGCTCTTGGGCACCTTCACGCCAGCTCTGGCTGGGCCCGCAATGGTGAGGACAGCGGCTCAGCTGCCTCTTCTCGAGTGTCCTCTGCATCGATGCCAGGAGCACCCTGCCAAGGCTGTGGGTACAGGGTCTATTTATAACTAGCTGCCAGACCAGGTTCTCCACCAGCACAGCCAGCACAGCCAGGCTGGGCTGAGCAGCGGGAGATGCTCAGAGGTGGAGCCCCTGCTCGGCAATTATCACAGAGAAGGGAAGGCAAGTGGGGGTGGGAGCAGGTGGCCCCGGACAGAGCACACAAGCGCAGAAATCTTTCCGGAGAGGCCTTCTTCGGCTCACTCAACGCTGAGCAATCCCCACTGAAGGCAGCCACAGGGAGGCTGAGGAGGACTGGAAGGCACTGTGGCAAAGCACCAGCCGGGGAGTCAGGAAACTCGGCCTCCAGGCCCAACTCAACGTGTAGTCGTTATTTTAACATCAGTGGCACATGTGCACCTGCGGCTGAAACCCTCTCACCTCATCACCCCCATAGGCCCTGGGAGGTGGCTGTTACTATTCTGTTATCCCAAATGAGGAAACTGAGGCTCAGGTGAAGGCCACCCAACTCAGGACAGAGTGCGCACGGGTTCCGGTCCTGCCGAGGCCAGTGCTCCAGCCGAGGCCAGTGCTCCAGCTCCATTTCCCCAACGACCCTCAAGAAGTCGCCTCCCAAGACAAATACCACATGATCTCACTCATTTGTGGAATCTAAAGAACTGAATAAACGAGCATTGTAAACAGAAATAGTCTCAGAGACATAGAGGAAAAACTGATGGTTGCTAGGTGGGAGAGGGTGGGGATGAGGGAGAAGGGGAAGGGGTTAGACAGCATAAATAGGTAACTACAATATTGACACAGAGATACAAAAGACAGTTCGGGGAATATCATTAATAATGTTGTAAATATTTTGTAGGGTGTCCGATGGTCACATGTCTTGCTAGGGAGACCACTTCATGGATGGGGTAGAGGCCTGAACACTGCACTGTACATCTGAAGCTGCCATTGAATAATATTGAATGTCAACTAAGATTTGATATATATGTGGTCACGGGATGTGGAGTATAGTGTGGGGAGTAGAGCCAATGGAATTGTGTTAGATATGGATGATATCGGGGGAGGGGGCGATTGATTGGGGGAGGAGGGTGGTCACTTTGTGAAAGGTGAAAAGTATAACTATTGCATTGTTTTGCACCTAAAATTAATTGTATTGCAATTGTATTTTATTGCAATTGTATTTAGGTGCCATTGTATTGCACCTAAAACTAATTAAAAAAAAAAAAAGAAGTGGCCTCTCCCTTGCAGCTCAAAAGCAGAAAATCCAGGGGCCCCAAACTGTTGGCCACCTTGAGGGGGTCAAGCAGGCAAAACAGAAAAAAGTAGAACGAAGAACTCCCCTCCCCTCGTGGGAGCTAGTCACTGGACAAAGGAGAGGGGCCTATAGCAGGTTGTCGATAAGGGGCATCCGCTCATACATTCTCTGACAGTGAGATGGAGACGAGAGAGGAGCAAAGCCGGGAGGTGCCTGCACAGCTCTCCAGATATCAGGAGACTGGAGGGGACGGCTGTGTACCCAGGTGCGGCCCACAACGGGAAATGCGCCGCTGTGATGCCCCCACCCCTTGTTCATGCGTCCACCCCCAGAGAACCCAGTCTCATTCTGAGAACCCAGTCTCATTCTGGTTGAGTCTGGGTTTCCGATGCCAACACACTCCTGCACCAGAAAGGGTCTCAGTCCTTCCATGTCTGGTGCCCTGGCTTCCTGGAGTGACTCCCCTGATGATGCAGGAAGGACCTCAGGGAACCCAAGGCACGCCACAGGACTCGCAGCTAGTGGCTTCAGCCACACACAAACCATGAGCCGCCCCATCCCTCGCTCCCAACACCACCACAGCCCTCGGAGCACAAGGCTTCTGGGATCAGGGGAGGGACTCTGCCTACAATCCTGAGAACGCAGCTCAGGGTGATTCAGCATTTGGGGGTCTGAGCAATCCGGTGCTAACCCGGCTTCTCTCAACTCTGTCCCCTGCATCTGAACACGAACCCTCCATTTCAGCCATCAGCTCCCATCCTGTCACAAGCCTGTGCCTTTTGTCTTCCGAGCTTTTGCCCACAGTGTCCCCCGCTGGTGCTCTCCTCATCCCTCCATTCTACTTTTCCAGACTCTACCCTTTCTTCCAAGCCCAGCTGGAGTCTTCACTCTTCTCTGGACCCAGCCCAGCGCCCCATGTCCCTCGCTCCTCTGGATTTCAGTCCCGTTGGCGGTTCTGTGCCCTATAAGCACCTCATGGGCAGGGACCACGTCTGAATTAAGCTCCAAGGGCAGGAACTTGGTTTGGTTTATTGCCCCCTACCCCAGCACCTAGAACAGTACCTAGCACATGATAGGCACCCAATACATACTCGTTTAATCAACGAATAAATCTCTGTACCCCCCTCAAAAAAATGCCTAGAAAGGTGCCCTGGCACAGAGACACAGTTCATCAATGCTTCTTTTTCTAATGTCTGTATTTAACTTTTAGAAAATTACACATCTAGGAGTCTAAATAATAACAGGTGGTGACTTTAATGTTTCTTGAATGTGTTAATCACTTGTGCCCTGATTGGGCACTGGTCACATACTGCCTTCTACTATTATCTCTCTCTTTATTTATGTGTCTTATCTCCCCAACTTGCCTGGAAGCTTTTGGACAGCCAGGATGGAAGCAAAATGGATAGAAGCAAAATGGATAGCTGACCTTCATTTCTCCCTGCCACATGTAACTATTAGACATGAGGTAGGTACCCTGTCCCAATAGGCCCTCTGTGGATTCAGGCTGAAGTTAAGGAAGGGGCAGCCCCCATCCAGCCCCAGCCCCGCAGGCATGTCCTAAATCAGAGCGGCCGCAGGAACTCCGCTCCCCTCCATGCCTAAGCGCAGCCTAAAGGTGGCAAGGAAGGCGAGGGAGCTAGGAAGAGGGGCCCTTCCCCTCCCACCCGAGCAGCACGAGGCATCGTCCCATTCTGCAAGGGCTGCCATGCCCACCGTGCAGGGCTGGCGTGAGGACTGTAAGAGCCAACTATCGAAAACATGCTGCCCCACCCAGAGCCTGATGGGAGGCAGGGGACTAAGTATAAATATTAGCTTCCTACTTGCCTTCCTGTCTCACTGCACCCGGCAAGGACAAGAACAGCATCCTGCCTTTCCTTTTCCTGTCGTGCTTCCTAGCACTGGGGCCAGCGTGGATCCAGAACTGCCTCCTTATCCCCACTCCTCACCCCTTTCCCATGAAACCCCAGCTTCTCCCACCCTCTCCCCCGGAACCCCAACCTCCTCAACTCTCTGGCTGATCAGCCAGCTACCCTGCCGAACCAGTGCTCAGCTCCTCGCCCTTCTCACGGACTTTCCATCCTCATCTTCCACTGCCTACCACAGTCTCCCTCAGGACTGACGCTTACCTGTGCCAGGGGGCCTGGGGCAGTGGGCACCTGGGCTCACCTGGGTCCCATCTGTAGAGAGAAGAGAGACAGAGTGAAGGGGCTGCAGGGAGGGAAGGAGGAGGAGAGGGGCCAAGCCAGGCAGGCTCCCTGCCACTCCAAGAGGCCCCCTGCCAGCTTCGGCCCTGGCACCTCTAGCTAACCAAAAAGAGCAGACTCCACCCCATTCCTTTCCTCAAATTCCTGTGCTGGATGAGAGCAATCCTCAGCTCCCTCTTCCTCATCCCATCTACTGAGCAACTCAGACATCTCGCCCTGTTGGAGCTCAGTGCACAGTCGGAGCCCAAGGAGGCCCCATTTCATCCGACAACGCGCTCAGCCCTCCCGATGTGCTCAGATACAGCCTTCCCTGGGCTCCGGCTCCCACAGCGGGACGGGGAAGAAGAGGGCCGGGAGGTGAGGTGGGGCCGGAGCTGGGACGGCATGGCTGGTGAGACCCAGCTAAAGGTGCCAGGCGGGAGTTGGCGGCGCTGGGGGAGCAGCCCTGGAGAGAGAACTGGGGCCCACTCAGAAGCTTCCACAGTGGGAGAGGGGCTGGGTTACAGCCTGAAGGTCAAGTCAGATCTGATGGGGATCTGATGGGAGCTGTGATATGAAGGGTCTGGAACGCACAGCCTGAGGACCCCATGGTAGGAACCCTTCCTCCTACTGCTCCATCCTGTGTCCTGCGGCCTGTACCCCCAGAGAAGAGAACCACTCAACCTTTTTCTAGGATAACCTGAAATAGAAGTCCTTTCTTCTGGAAATGGCCACCTCTCCCACGCACCTAAGCCCAGCCCAGAAACCTTATCCCATTCAGAGTCCATGAAACTCCACAGTAGGGCCAGAACTGGTCAGCAGCAGAGAGGTCCTAAGGAGCCCAGGGGCTTAGTGGGGTGGGGGAAAACAGAGGTAGGTCCCGAGGCCAGCTATCCAAGACGGACGCCTTTCCCTCCTGCCGTCCCAGCTCAGGGTCAAGGGAACAGGAGGCCAGGAGACTGGGAAGCTGTCTGGAGAGAGGCATGTGGTGGACATACAGAGGCCCTCCTCAAGCCACACCTGGGGCAGAAGGAGTATTTCCTGGAGGATAACTGGCGGGTGCTGCTCTTTTGGGTCTGTGTCTAAGGGGCAGCCTGAGTTCCTGTTCCAGAGCCTAAAAAGGAGAACTCCCTGCAGGCATGAGCCGCTGGAGGAGGGGGCAACTCTAGACACAGAGAGACTCCCACCAACTGCCCTCAAACACTAGGGCACCGTTCTTCAGATGACAATGTTTGCTAGGAAAATGCCACTCCACCTATTCAAATTCTGCCCATCCTTTGAAGTCCAGTCCAAGGCCATCTCCTCATGAAGCTCCCCTTGACCTCTCTTCTTCTCACTTCCTAGAGCACCCACTCTGTGTCTACCACCTGCACACTCCAGTAACCGTGCCTATCTATCTAACACTTTGCTGGGCACACCACAGCAGGCTCTGTTAGGAACTGGTGGATCCAACACAGTGACTCTCCTGACAGCCTGCCTAGGATACGGCATGAATATTTCTTGAGGTTTGGGAGCCCCAAGGAACACTGGTGCAGGAGGCAGCCTCTCCACCCCAGGACATGGTAACCCCCATCCCGAGCTCTCTTAGGACCTCCTCTTTCTTCTGCAGGACCTGGTCCCTTAAGAGAGATTTCTGAACCAGGTTCCCGGGTGCGAGGCCACGTCAGGGAGTGTCCCTGCCTCCAGGGAACTGCCTCCTACCTCCCTGGTCCCAGCCTGAGGGCTGCTCAGCAGCATTCACACTTGAGAACAGAGCCAGGTTCTCTGCCTCACTCCCCTGGGAACCACAGATTCGGACACTGTGGTCTCTCTGGATGAGAGAAAAGCTAATGGCCCTGAACTCTGTAGTGTTTATTACCAGGCCCAAAAGGGATGTTTTGTGATGCTGATCGATGATAGAAACTGTTGAGAAATGCTGCATGTGTGTGCCTGTGTGTTGCCAACAGGGGCTGTTTCCAAAAGCAATTCCTGGGAAAAGTTCTGCTTCGCCCCTCATTTCCTGGCTCCTCGCTGACAGCCTTTGATTTCACAAGAGCCCCCGAGCAACAGAGATAAGACCTGAGGAACAGCTCTCCTGTGTCCCAGAGGGAGGAAAGGTATCAGAAGGCATCTAGTCAGCGGCTGAACTGAAACCAGAAAGTGCACATCCTGCATCCCGGGCTTGGGGATATGTCTGGGGACCCCTCTTGTCACTGGCCCCTCTCAGAGCACTGTTACCACTAATTTGGGATCAAACTGAAATAAGATCGAGTGAATGGACCTGAGGGACCGAGAACGCTGCGTAGGGCTGGACCCTTCTCCACACAGCTTCTGGCCAGGGTGGCGACCTCTGCTCTTTGGAATCCTGGCTAACCCCCATTTCTGCCTTCTTGGGAAGCAACTGCAGTCAGGCTGAAGAGGCAGTTTACTTGGCACTGAGGCACCTGGCCTACCAAGTCACCTCCCCAAGCCAGAACACCTGATCTCACCCAGAACCAAAGAGCCCCAGAAATCCTGCCCGAGTAGGGGCACCCCAGCCCTCAGCAACCTCCAGAGCAGACACAAAGTCCACTCTTCTATCCCCTGAGCACTTCACGAGCTGGCCTCCCTTCCTACCTCATTGCCCCAAGCCTTACCTGCCCAGAGAAACCTAAGCCCTGCCTGACCACCTGCTCTCCCAGGTGCAGCAAGCCCTTTGTCAGGGAGAGGGCTTCCCTAGGTGCAACGCCTCCAATGTCTTTTTTAAGGCTGTTCCACCTGCCTGGTCTCCTGACCAACTAAAAGGAGGTGCAGCAGGAAGACCTAGGCCCCGGCAGCCAGAGGAAAGCAGGCAGCAGCAGGAGGCCAAATGCTGGGTTCAGGGCTGACCCCTCCACACCCCAAGTTGCATCTCTGGTTTTGTTTCCCTGACCCAGGTGTGACAAAGCTTGACTCCTCATTGGGCTGGCGGAGAAGAGGAAATCTGGGGGTGAAATGGCTTCAAGAAGGTCCAATAAATAAACACAAGAAAGAACATCGTGGTTGCCAGTCCTCTCTGACACAGAGTGAGGGCTGAGCATGGAAAGAAACCCTTCTTGAAGGCACTCGGGTCACAGAATCTGAGTGTTAGGAACTGATGGGGCATTAGAGAATTTTCAGGCCAACACTCTTACTTCACAGAGGAGGGAACAGAGAGGAAAAGGGGCTAGGTCACGGTCGCCTGGCAGGTCAGTGGCACAGCCAGGCCAGACCAGACCAGTGCAGCAGAAACCCAGAGTCGATCCCAGATGCTGGTGCTAATACCTCCATGTGAGATCACTCATCCAGGGACTAAAGGAATGGAAACAAGAATGAAACCTGGTTCTCACTTTTAAGGAGTTTAAAATAAAGCTCATAATTTATTTAAAAATTAAAAAGTATACTACTTATAGATACTACAAAATTCAAAGAGCCCCAGAAAGTATAAAATAAAGTTTCTCACTCATCCAACTCCCTAGACCTTCCCTAGAATCAACTCTTTTTAACGTTTTTTTGTACCCCCCTTCCAGAAATTCTCCTACTCATTTTCTCAGCACTTAAGCCGCTTATTGCTCGGATATCCAAAATCCAGGGGGCTGCAAGCTGGCTGGAAACTCCTGCCACATGAAGTGATGGAAGTGAGAGTCCATATCAAAGAGGACACTCTGAGGTCAGATGGACCTGGGTTCAAACTCTGACTCCCTCAGTGACCAGCAGAGAGCCAGGGACGTGGTGTAACCGGGTCAAGCCTTGGCTGCCCCATCTATAATGAGAATATCTGCTTGAAAGCAGTCATCTGACAGTAGCAATATTGTGTGTGAAGCACCCAGCACGTGGTAGGTACGGCCACAATGGATGTGATTACTACTGCTTATCCCTGACCTTGTCTGCATCCTCCCTCTAGCACAGCCCCTTTTCTCCCGGATGCATTCCCCAGCCCCCTGCCTCTCCCAACTCCAGTGTCTTCACTTTCTCTTCCATCTGAATGCTTGTAAACTAACTTTACTCTGTGCAAGGCATTGTTCTAAATTCTTTACATGTGCTAATCCATCTAACCCCCATGACAGCCCAATGAGGTGGTTACCCATTATATAGATCAGTAGACTGAGAGCCAGCTGTATTATACAGCTTGTCTGAAGTCACATAACATGGAAATGGCTGAGCTGGGACTTGAGCCAGGCAACTGGGCTCCAGAATCCATGTTCTCAAAACAATACACTCCACTGCTCATCTCCAGTACTTCCACTCCCCACAGGCCAGCGGGGAGACAGCATAGGCAGGACATGGCTGGGCACAGGGAAAGATTAAAAAGATCACATAGCCCCACAGAGACCGGTACCAGCAGCAAACCTCAGCCCTGCTGCAGGCTGGAAGGTAGAAGCTGCCTATTTCATCTTTGGGCCCCCATGAAAACAATTCTGAAGAATCACTTCTAGATAGCAACTGTTGGCAATAATTTCAGACCGCGTGTGGAAACAAGGGACTGGCAACGGGTTGGGGTCTTGGAGGAGCACCGGCTTCGTTTTCCTTCCTCTTGGGTGCCCTGCCATGTCCTTTCTCTAGAAGCTCCCCAAGTCCCTCTGAGGCTGTCTCTCATTAGCATCCCAAAGCAAGCTCCACCGTGCAGGCAGAGGGGCCAGCTGCCCAGGGGCGGAGGCTGGGCTCCCAGGTGAGGGGCCTGGGACGTGGGCCTGCCCCAACAAAGGCCTCCTGTCTGTCCCAGGCGAGCGGACTGAAGCTCTGCAGGATCTGCAGCTGTGCACTGAACAGGCTAGAAGTGAGGGCCGCAAAGCTGGCCCTCCCACCTCTTTCCCTTACCCCCACCCCCACCCCCAGCACTGGGGCCGGTGGCAGCTATTTTTAGCACCTGACACCTGGGTATTTTGCAGCCGCAGGATGTCCGGTTTGGAGTCTCTTTCTGGGAATCCCACACGCGGCTGTTGTAAACAGCCCCACGCAGCGGTGGCCAAGCTGGGAGCCTCGGGTCCCCCCTCCCTTCTGCTGTTTGAGATGAATCA